GAATGTATGATGGATCTGAGGCACAAGCTGAGTCCAGAGCTGAGTGAAGTGTAAACATGCGCCAGTAGACAGATAAGCATATCGCTTTTGGTCAGTTTTTGTGCTGAGATTGTCCATTGCCATTGCAAATATATCAGCTTCTTTCTAATTCACCGATAGTTGAAATGGTTGGGTGATTTTGATATCCTACAGAATGTCACAGGTTTGATGAAAGGCTTCTTTGTAGCTGTTATACTATCCGTAAGACAGTATTATTTCAATCACATACCTACACGATGTAATGATGATTCAACAATGATTTTTGATATTTTCTGTGATAACTTCGAGAATTAACACAATGTACACGATTAAATAGCAGGAATAGAATGTATGCGAAACACATAAAATATAATATAAAGTGCCCTGATAACGCCGCCATCTTGTTTTTGATACAGCGCCCTCAACGGTCGATCACCTTGCCAATAATCTATTTATTAAGGAGAAAAAACATTGACATTATCTTACTGCTGAAGTTATCGATTAATCAAAATCACATCACAAAATATTTGATTAGATTTGACTAAAAACATCATCTAGTTAGAGTGAGGTTCCAAAATGTCCTCCGTTTTCACGAATACACAATTCGATCCTTTTTTCTAAAGAATGCATCAATCTTCTCAACGGTTGAGGATCAGCTATGAGATCATCGAAGTGATGTTCAATTCTTTCTTGCAGCTCTTGACGTGGTTATCAATAAATAGGTAACAGTATTTTATAATATTAACTTTCAACTAGCATCGGTGTTATACTTCAGCATTTTCAAATCGAAATATCCCGAAAACGGTACACAGTATCAAGTTTTACCAAGAGCACCTTTTCTAGTGTAAAATTGAATGATGTTCAAGTTCACATTAAATTTGGAGTGAAAAATCTAACCTCAAAAAAGTTATGTTTAAAAGTACTCGGTATGAACCGTGTAACGAGCGCCCTCTATGAGTGTCAGATATAAAAACAAATTCATGCGATGTGTCAGCTTTCGAAACACATCCATACAAAATTTCATTACAATGTTGCCAGTAGTTTCAACATAATCGTAAAGAATGTGTAAAAAAATATTTTCTCAACACCTTGTATCTTGAAAACGGATGGCGTTACGACATTTTTTACTGAGCAAACTCAACTTATTTTACAATGTTCAACCTACCCCAGGAAGGGGGTCAGTTTTTTCAAACACCCTGTATAATGTAGCTGGTGGTGTAAAAACTCAGTTTTCACATTGCTTGGAATCAACCAGTGTCCTTGGATGATTGAGATAAATCGACTTGCTCGTTTTACGAATAGAATCATCTTAAATGTTTGAAATCAGTTCTCATCGACAAGTTTCCAAAAATTCTAGTTGTCCATCTGAAACGTGTATCTCGCAGACAGAATTGTTTAGGGAGAAACAGAACCTCATCTCTGTCACAACAGATCCTACCAAGTAGATTTCACTTTTATGCGATTTTCAAACATAGCAGTTCCATCTACACCGGACACTACCATGACTATTGCACACACTTATATTTAATTCTAATGTTTGGTACGGCAATGAAAAAATTCCACTTGTTGAATATGGGAGAAATCAGGGTCTCCTAATTGACAGTTAACTCAAATTCGAAGAGCATGTCTCAAAAAAATTGGCGTTAGTGTATTCGACTCTGAAATGTTTTGATAGTGTGGACATGAAACTTATCAAAAAATTGCAAAATCATGCCTCCGTTATTCAGTGTGAGGCGCAGCCACAGAACTTTTCACAAACTGAATGAATGTCATTGGCTCAACATGATCAATCGCCGCTAATCATATTTTGCCTGCTTCTGCTTCAAGTTGATAAAACTCAAAATTCTAATTTATTTATTTGACAAATTGAGATATCGAACCGATGTTTACAATTTGAATATCTGGCGTCAAAGTATCCTCACCATACCGTCCCACCACAATACATTATGGAATTTTTGTTGAAATTAAAAAAAATGGCTGCTCCAAGATGGCGGACAAGATTTGGTCCGATTCCATTCAAAATTAGTAAGTGGGGGTTTCTGAGGTCAGAGATCATGATTTTTTTGTTAAAATTTATAAATTCAAGATGGCGGCTTCCAAATAATTCTTTGTTTTTGTATAAATGACGATAACTCCGTTGTTATCAACACAAAACTATTACTGCGACATATCATCGGTTAGGGAAAAAAAAGTTATTTGTAACTAAGTCATAGTGAGTTATGACCTACATTTGAAAAACTAAAGTTGGTGCTGATGTCTCAAATTCTAGAAGAGTTGGTATGAATTGAATTGAATATTTTCATAAATAAAGAAGTTACGGAGGAGACATGGAAATGATCGAAATCTGTTTTTTGCGTATAAAACAAAAACGAATAGATTTTATCAAGATATTGTTTCACATTATAGTTGGCCTTGACAAACTCCACATTTGGTGTCATTTAACCGACCTCGTATCTCTCACCGTTAAAAAGATACCCATGGTGAGACATGGGTCACACTGTATACCTTCATTTCTCTTCTCCAAACCTTTTTCAATAAAAATTGTCACTGACAAGCTCGTGAATTTTTCTTTTGGTCTCTCTGATAGAAACACTCTTCAAACGCTGACATTTTGGGGCAAATCAACTGATTTGTCCTTACTACATTATGAAATAATATTCATATTTTTATTGTATAGAAACGAGGAGAAAATCCTAAAAAATCTGGAATAATGCATAACTTTTTTTCTGGTGACCCGATTGTTGAAATCTCAGGCTTATTTTTGAGCTGAAACTTATGAAGAGATATGTACAGAGTGGCCCATTAGTGCGAGGACGTGTAATAACGGCTTCGATGTTTGAGATAGATAACCCAAAATTTCTGAGATGGTCAAAGCTCATGAGCAGCGCATTATTTTCTGAAATATTTTGCGTATACAGGGTGACAAAAAATAAGTTTGGTATCAAAGTTTCCTATACATTTTTTTATGTATGGTATTTTCAGAATTATCTTTATGAGCTGATTTTATCAATCGATCACACTTTAGGTTTAAGGGAAATTATGACAGAGATATAGGGTGTGAAAAAAATACTTTCGGAATTTTTCGTGTCAAAAGTAGGTACCCATTATTGGTCATGAATGTTCCCATTTTAAATTTCAATTTATCATTCCTTGATATTCAATTTGAACGAATACAGGGTGGTTGATAATTCAGAATAGTTATGAACCACTTTGTATTCGTTGAAATCAAATGTCAGTAGTATATCAGAAGATAAAATGTGAACATGTGAGCCGTTTTGACCAATAATGGGTACTGTTGACACAAGAAATCTCGGAAGTTGAAAAATCTTGATATTCATCACTTCCTCAAACCAAAAGTATGATTGATCGACGGAATCAGCTCATAAGGAGAAATCTGGAAATGCAATTAAATTCAAGGTGTTCCATAAAAAGTATATAACTTCGATACGTCACGCACTTTTGAGTCACCCTGAAATACGCAAAATATTTTATAAATGTGCTGCTCCATATGAGCTTAGACCATCTCAGAAATTTTCGTTCATCTGTTTCAAACAGTGAAGCTGTTATCTCACTTCCTCGCACTCATGGGACACCCTGTGCATATCTCTTCATCTGAAGTTTCAGCTGCGAAATGAACCTGAGATTTGAAACACCGGTTGACGAGGAAAACATTATGACTGCAAAACCGAAGTTATTTTTCACTCTGAATAAAAGAAATAAGAAGACAGTTCCAAAAATTTCCCAAGATAATGAGGTCATCTCATGCCTCTGCTGTCAAAAATGAAAAAAAAATTAATCTTCATTTGGGACCCTTTTGAAAATTCCGAAATTTTGCACAGTTTCAGGTAACACCCTGTAGCAATTTTTTGTTTTGAAAGAGTAAGAGATTATTGCTGAAAGTCTGGGCTAGCGAACTTCACACTCTGATTTAGAAAAAATAAAAAATTGGTGTGAATCGAATATGTTGTCGCTGAATCTTTCTAAAACAAATCTGGTCACATTTAAGTGGGATTTGGATCAGGTAACTTTAGGTTGTCAGACGGTTGAAAGTAAGCTTGTAACGAAATTCCTCGGTATATTTATTGATAGTAATTTAAAGTTTGACACACAAATTAATACACTGAAAAAGAAATTGTCTTCTCGTTGCTTTGCCGTGAATGTCATATCTCGTGAACTCGGATTTTCAGCTTCAATGACTATTCACTTATGGAGAGTCATCTTAGGTATGGAGTTCCATTTTGGGGCTCTGCCTAATATTCAAAAAGAGGATTCGCGACTCGTGTAGGCCAATTCTCTACAAATATAAAATACTAACAATATTCGAAATTTTTATTATAGAGACTGTTTGCTTGCTTCACAAACATAAAGAAAAGTTCTTGAATCGAGCAGAAAGGCACATACGAGAGGAGATGATACTTGTCCTTCCACTCCCCACATCAACTTTGACCAAGCATTCTCAAATCTATAGAAGTAGACAGATATATAATCATTTATCGAAACAAATAACAGCAATCAATGATCAGAAGCAATTTAGGAAATCGGTAAAAAACTTGTGATGGGAAAGTGCTTCTATAGTTTGGGAGAGTATTTTGCATATAATTTCTAGTTTTTCTATATAAATGTTACGATCTACATCAAGATTTTAATAAACTGTAGTTGTGAAAACACGTTTGTACCATACCGTATTATACCCTTTATGTAAATATTTTTTAGTCTTGTTTCTTTTACAATTGTTCGTTTTTTATATATATGATATACCTTTGTCGACGAAATGTAATACATTTTAGACAATAAAGATTATTCTCTCTCTCTCAGTGTGATCCGAATTCAAATTGTTCAAAGTAGAAAAAAGTACTTCATATTTTAACAGGGGCTGAATTTTGTGGAGCGACGAGATTAGTGTTGCGTAGTTTACTGGCATTTTAACAATACCAGGTTCATCATTCACCGAAATTAAGATTTGATTTTTCATTATTTTTCAGATCACCAAGCAGATCAAGCTAGCTCAAGAAGAAATCGATCAAAGTACTGAATTATCATTCGATACAAAAAATGATGGAAGCAAACAACTCTGGACAGATATGTACAAACCCCGCAAATATATTGAGTTACTCAGTGATGAGAGTACAAATCGAATTATGTTGAAGTGGTTGAAACTGTGGGACAAAGCAGTATTCAATAGAAAACCAAAAGTGAAACCAATAAGGCCGGCAGAGAAAAATAAAAATTGGTTCTTCAAAGAAAAAGAGCTTGATACTAATATGGATGAGCATGGGAGACCACATCATAAGGTTGCATTGCTGTGTGGACCTCCTGGGTTGGGTGTGTATACAAATAAAATAATGTGATTCTTCTCCGTTTTTCAATGTTTTTTTACATATTCGGTTTCCTGTATGGATATATGGAAGTCTTTGTTTTTTCTTTTGAAAATATACCTTATTCAGTGTATGTCATTTTACTAATGAATGATTATGTAAATAAACAATTGAAAATCACCTAAGCAAAAAAACATATTGGTACAATTCCATCAAAAATTGATATATACCGGGTGTCCCACATCTGTTAATTCAAGTGAGGGTTGCTTGGCTGTGTGCACGTGTATATATACCAAAGAAGGAAAGTGTTGTATTCGAATAAATTATCTTGCACGAAATACATCATTTCATTCAGCCAATATCAGTTATCCCTACAATGCATCCTGTTGCATATCTGCAACATATCTGTCATTTGCAGTTTTCTACTGAATGAAGGCATTCCGGGTCAGTGGCGTTATCAAGGATTACGACAGATTGCATACTTATTTGAAATATCATCGAGTCGTCATCGATAGGTGGCACTCAAAATAATAAAATGTATGACAAGTCAAACGTGTTCGTTTATCTATGACTGTGTCTGTCAATGCTAATGAATAAAAGTGATTTCTCGAAGGATCATCATTTATTTTCATGAACTGCTGCTGATAACAGTGTTTTTTAAAAATCTAGAAAATTCTCCAGATACTGAAGATGAATCATTATCTGATATCAACGTTCTATGTCAACCTAATCGTGCAATCTTTATTTTTTTAAATGCATGCTTTCACTATTATTCAAATTATCTGTCCTTTGATGGGCTATAGAAAATCAGCATCAAAACGCTCATAAAAATCACAAGTTGAAACAGTGTGCATTTATCAAGCTTGATTGGGCTCAGGCCTGCATGACATTTAGTTATCTGAGGCAGGATTTTAATTATCCAAAAACGCCCGAAGAAGTTTATTGTGATCATTGAATGATTCTCAGCCTTAATCAGTACCCTGGAAATTAACAAATTGGATGTTCTATGTTATCCGACATACCCCCTGACTTGAATCACATGCTAAACGTACAGGTTTATTGGGGTCAAAGTGGACCAGAATTTTTTCAGAAGGAGATACTGCCTTGCCCTACTGGAATGCTTCTTCGTACTCAGTAGTCCAAACAGTTTTTTTTGTCTTTTGACTAAATTATATGATGGTTTCAGTTTTCCAGATAGGTTTTTTGATAAATCTTGCATATAAGTTGATCTTGGCAGCAAAAGCCCGTACCCTACCTCTGTTACGTCTTTTAGTCTTGGTGACTCAGTTATGTACTTCACCTTATCCCTATGATTTCCTTTCTAAGCGAGTTGAAACTTACCCTAGAGTTTTCAAATAACCTTCTTCATCGTTCGGAAGATTCACTGTGTTTTTAAATCCCTGATAACTGGTTTCCTCATCCAACACTAACTGTTTGTATGCATTCAAAAAATCTAATTTAGTAATTTCTTCCCACTCTGCAAGCAACAAACTTTGCTTCGATTCTCGGTAATGGGTGATTGAAAGCTTTAAGAAACTTTATCACCGTAATTTTATAGTTTGCACACACTCGTACATCTTTACTATTGGCTTTCATTACTGGCAATATTAGTAACCCAGAGTAACCCATGCAGAGTTTTCAACTGTTATTACCACTCTTTTCATGAGCATGTTGCTTGCAAAACTACATTATGAAACAGCATTTTTCACTTTACATACTATTGGTTAACTGATTCTTGTGGTCCTGATTCAAACTATCAAATATCTTTTAGCTTTTTTTATATTCTCACTTTGTATCACACTGCAGATGAGTTATTGGTCTTTTAATCATCTCATCAAGTTCAGTAGCAATGCGTTTCCAGAAATTTTTTTAGTTGATTTTCGATTTTGTGTAATTTGTTTCTACAAGTCGTCAACAAAATTGTTATTTGTTCAGACCACAATTATGTATCAGTAGCTGAATTATTTGTCATCTCACCAGCGCCAGAGACTTTCTCCATTCATTGTCTCCACCAAATCATCTTGATGAACTGCTGGATTCTCGGCTGGCTCTGCTAGCTCAACATGTATATTAGTTTCATCTATCGGAGTTTGAAAATCTATAAAGAAAAAGTAGTGATTCATGAAAACTGAAGATTTAACTCTCAAGATTTTACTCGGAATTTCATTGTCGCGAAAATGAGTTTCAAAATGTTTATGAGTGACTCATAGTTAATTAGATCAGAAACACCACAACAACAAAACACAAAACAACCTAGTTGAATTCAACGCCACCAAAACTCAAGCCTGCATTTTCTCTAGAAAGGCGGAACTCAGTATTCCCGATATTGTTATGTCTGGGTCCACCATCCCCACCAAGCCCACCATATCTATGCTCGGTATTTCCATCAGCAACACTCTTTCATGGGATAATCATGTCAGATCCATCGCAAAAGCTGCTTCACAAAAACTCGGATTCTTGTTCCGTGCGAAAAGCTACTTTACACCTCAACAGCTTCTCATGATCTACAAAGCGCAGATACGGCCTGTTCTAGAATACTGTTCCCACATATGGGGTTCAGCACCAAAACATACGCTGATGCTCTTAGATTCCATCCAGAGAAGAGCCATTCGCCTGGTGGGTGACGCCACACTCACTCACTCTTTGACATCATTGGAACACCGTAGAAAAATCGGCGACCTTTCACTTTTCTATCGATACTTCCACGGGAAATGTTCTTCGGAAATCTCTGCTATCATCCCTTCACTAGCAATACCAATCAGACGAACTAGACAACCTCGAAAGATGTCGAACAGCACTTTATCAAGACTCCTTCATCCATAGAACGGCTAGGCTCTGGAATTCATTGCCTGTGGAAGTATTCCCAACAACATATAATCTCCAAAAGTTCAAAAAAAATTCCAATACCCACCTCCTGTTCCTATCCTCTCTAGGAACGCACGATGTTCTTTGAACATTATAGGGATAAAAAAAAAACATCTTACAAATAGTTATTTTTGTATCTAGAGCGCGAAATGCTACTTTGGTGATCGAGATCTGATTTTTTTAACGAGGCGTAGCCGAGTTAAAAAATTAGTCGAGATGACCAAAGTATTTCGCGCTCGAGTTGCAAACAACATTTTTTCTACAAATGTCAAAAAATATAGTTCTAAAGTAAAAATATACTCAGCTTGATATAAAAAATAGTGTTGAACTGGCTTCAAAGGCCTCCCCCTATCCTCCCTAGGTACGCACGATGTTCCACGAACATAATAGGAATTTCCTTTCGTGCGCTTCGAGAGACAAAACGAAGTTATTGTTGAACATTCAGAAATAAATGATTTCATGGATGTTTGCTCGATTGAGGACCATAAAGTTGAAATATAAATATCTCATTAATTCTATACATTACAATGCGCGAAGTAGGTACTTCGCGCACTGTTTTACTTCGCGCATTGTTATGTGCAAGGTATCATGGTAACGTAGGAAACTGAAAAAAAGTGTCACTTCGCAGTTAGTTATCAATGCGCGAACCTTGTCATTTTTTGACGTTTGTAGAAAAAACATTTTCTGCTCCTCATTAATTCATGGTGGAATTTATTTCAATCAAATGTCAATATAATATTCTATACATTTTTTGGCATTACACTACCTTATCTCAATACATGCTCAAATAACAAATACAAAATGCCCAGAAATGGCCCAGAACATGAGGATCATGCAGTCGATCCAACTTCTCCGCGCAAATGAATCACGATCGTTTGTATCCATGAGGCCTTTGACGAACATAACAAATCCCAATGATCCCTATAATGGACGCAAATTGACAAATTTCTACGTTATATTGCTATGCCGAACTAATCCTTTGTTGCCAGTGCTCGATACTTCACACTTGCAAAGGAGTTGCCGCCACAGCATACATCCAAGATCTAGCCATATGGCTTTATGGTCGGTCGGAACAATAGCAGTTGAAGTATACATATGTATGAGTTGATAATATCGAACCGGTTATTTACCAATTCTGCTAGCTATTGTATTGGAAAATATCTCTGCAGCAAGTTTCACATTTTGTCTTTCAGTTTTTATGCTATTCAAATGTAAGTTCTTCAACTTATAGCAGGAACTTTCTCAACCACCTGAGATTCTTAGCAACATTAGCACTGGTATTTAATTTATAGTTGTTCCATTTTTGATAGTGAATCCAGTGACTATGGTCCAATTCCTTAGGAGCTTTAATAAATGAGGTTTATCAGCAAAAAAAATACACATGCTCTTTTGTTACTGGTTTACATTACTATACATTGCATTTCATGTTATGCAGTTTGGTAATTGCAATTTTTGATAATTCGTTTGCCGTTTTTTGATCAAAACCAATTAACATAATATGTACTCAAACAGTTATTTGCATGTATAATAATAGTTTCATCATCCCTTTGGTAATATTCAAGTATTGAATAGACACTAACTTCACTGCACTGTTGTTTTTTAATCCATTTTTGTCCGTAGCAACAGTCTCCATAACTCGAATAATAACATTCAACTTACCAACCAGTCCATCTCTGTAATGTAGAAATACTGAGGAGTGTGTATTTTAAATTTTCTCTCAGATGTAAATTAATCTTTCCCCCTAATACCTCAGTGTAAATGCTATTGAAAGCTCTTCATTTGTCCACCTGACTCTGTTTTTTTTAAACATCAACTTGATTTGAGGTAACCGAATCTTTAAAAAGTTTCTTGGCGGTTTTTTTCCAAGGAAGAATTAGATGTTCAGTTCCTCGTTCAAGTTCTGCAATTTTATTCTTGAATTCGTTGTTCCTCTCTCTATTAATTTCTTAAAAATTATATATTATTTTTCAAAAACTCTCAGGAACAGCTTCTGAAAATAAATAAAATCTATATACTGTAATACCTACCAACTTCATAGGTATTCCGTGAGGAAACACCTAATAGCAGAACCTAACCTTAAGAAATAAGTAGTCAAGTACAAGTCATGCTCAACAAATTGATTAACAGTTTCGTTTTCGTTTTCGTTCTCTCTAAAATGTCCATCTTGTCAGCTAATTTACATTCTTTTCTGATGAAATAGAAACTGAATCATTATGGTCTTTGAAAGACAAGAGGAATGATGATGGTACAATCACAAAAAATTGAAATAATACAGTTATAAAATGATACAGTAATAATGAAAGCACATTAATTTGCATTGCATATTCCACTCACACACTGGAGCACATACTTTACCGGTTTTTTATTTCGTTGGTGACGTTTTCAAAAGATTCGCTTTTGGTAAATGTTGATAGTCCTCTGACAGGAAATGCCTACTACGAATAAGATATTTTTTGTTGCATTTCCTCACCCATTCTTCACATATCTCAAGAGTTTTTCTGAAAAAATTCGAATACCTCTTATAGCCAGCCATATTACAAATCGTCCCAGCTGGCATCTGGAAAGAGTTTTCCGTTTTTATCACAAACACTAGGTTAGAATAATTTGAATACTTTGCACATGTACTTACATCATATTTTACTTTGCTTCATAGGTAAAACAACTTTGGCCCATGTAGCTGCAAAACATGCCGGCTACAATGTAGTAGAAGTGAACGCGTCAGATGATCGTAGCACTGAAGCTTTCAAAACCTCCTTGGAAAACGCCACTCAGATGCGGTCGGTAGTCGATAAAGAAAAACGGCCCAATTGCCTCGTATTCGATGAAATCGATGGAGCCCCGCAAGCCTCCATAGACTTCTTGGTGAAATTCATAAGTGGCAACGTGACCACCAAGTCCAAGAAGGGAAAGGGTCAAAAACAGGCAGTGCTGAAACGACCCATCATCTGCATATGCAATGACGTGTATGTACCAGCTTTGAGGCCGCTGAGGCAGATCGCGTTTGTCATCAATTTCCCTCCAACATCTAGCGTGAGATTGTCCGAGAGGCTCATGTGCATATCGAGAAGGGAGGGCATCAAGACTGACATGGGAGCTATGATGGCTCTGGCTGAGAAGAGCAATAATGATATTAGGTCTTGTTTGTCTGTGTTGCACTTTTTTAAAACGCACAAGAAACCTGTTACGTTGTCTGATATTTATAGAACCAGCATTGGACAGAAGGATATGCAGAAAGGTGTGTATTAAATTGCTTTATACCAAGTTTCATACATTGATAAATAACTTTACACAAGAAGAAAACTACTCACCTATTAACTTGTCGTGAAACCCGTAAAAAACAACTGAAATCCATCATTGTTTTATTAGGATCAAATGTGACTCTTTGTTTGACAAGCGATATTTGTGTTTGCGAGGCAGAGCGACGGCTAACCCGAGCACGCGAATTTTGCGAGTCAAACACAGTCACTTTTGATCCGAATGAAACATGCTAATTTTTCTGCAATTGAAGTAATCAATATCTGATTATTAAATTCAAGTGAAGTTACCACTATCTTGATTCACTTGAGCATGTCAGTGTCAAAGCAGCTATCATATCAGCTGTCATCTGACACGTTTTTAGTTCCTATAGGAGTTTAACTTCAACTTCAGCTCCTAGACACTAAAAGTGTTGCCTAGCAACATACATACAAATTATTTTATTATGTCAGTAAGAGAAACGTCAACTTCAAGAGCTAATTTTGGAACAAAAATGGACGACTTTTGAGCCGATTGCAGAAAAAAGTGTTTTTTTATTTTTGGCTTGATTTTAAGAAATACATTGTCATTGTCACCAATTTATCATGTTTTTCAATCAATTATTCCTTCTAAATTTGATAAAAATGGCGGAGAGGACTCTTGTGGCATGTTCTGTGACTTCCTGTACAGAATCCTATCAACATGTGTCTGAAAATTTTTCCTAAGGGCACTAGAGCCCTTTGAAGATAGGTACTATTCTTCAATTTTCTTCACTATATTTTATCCTAGAATCACGAAATTTGGTACCTAAGGGTGATTCGATCATGTGAATCGTTTCGTAGTACGGAAACATGATTTAATATACATGGAGGTGCGAACTCTTAACCCATGCTATAAAAAGGCACCACATTTTTTTATTTTAGATTTATCACATTTCTACTACCAGAATGTTATAATTTTCCAAACATTCTTACATGAAAAAGGTATTCCTGTTAAAATGCCGCAAGACGAATTATTTTCGAGAAAAGTGTTTTCATTTTGATGTCCGAAAAAATTCACAATGATCTCGAGCGTGTGTTCTTATGATAAACAATTAGAAATTGATAATTACTATCCTCCTTTTCCAGTTATAGTTTTGATTTATTATAGTTAATCGTGATGTTGATTTGTTGAGAAAATATCCGTGAATGAAATTGACTAAATTTCACGAACTTATTCAGTAGGTGATTTTTTTTGACATCAAAATGAAAAATAACCCTTTTCACGAAAACGTTCCGTTTTACGGCATTCTGACAAGAATACTTTTTACATGGAAAATGTTTGAAGAATTATATTCTGGTAGTAGAAATGAGGTACATATTGAAACGAAAAAACTTCAGGCATTTTTATAGCATCGGTTACGAGTTAGGATGCTATAAAACCTACCTGCATATTACATCATGTTTTCCTTACCACAAAACGATTTGTAATACCGAATCACCCTTAGGTACCTTTCGTGATTCTAGGATCAACGGTAACAAAGATGATTGAAGAAAACTGCATTCAAGGACTCACCTCCAAAGGGCTCTAGCACCCTTAGGAAGCATTTTCGAACACATGTTAATAGGATGATTTTTTCTTATTTTTATCAACAGAACTACCTCCCGGAGTATAGGTACGTTATTCTGGGACACTCTGTATGCCCACTTAGGTTAGCAAAAGTCAGATGTCTTACAAAGTGACTTCCTGAACTTCCTTCCCACCATTTCAACTCTTGATCTAATGGCTCTTTCTGGATATTTTTCATTATGAAAGTTTGATCACTATATTTTGGCGCAAATAATATCTCTAAAAATACCGGTTGGAAGCAATGATCTTAATTTTTTTCAAGGCAATTGAGGCATCATTCGAATAGTCACGCCCCCATCGTACTTCATACCATACTTCAAGTATTTCTATTAGAGTATTACTGAAATATACCTATTCAGTTTTAGTCTTGCTTTAAATAATTCTATATTCATATTTTATTCCTTTGTTTTTGTCCCATTTACTTACCTTTTATATATATTATGTTGAATGTTATATATTTTTATCATGTAAGATGTTATGTGAAATCATAATAATGTAATTGTTTGATTTACCACGTACAAGTTGCCTCTGCAACTTCTGTGGGCATTTTTAATGTTTATTTATTGTGATCATTGCTGAACCATTTTATGATTATTATTTTTGAAATAAACATTCATTCATTCATTCATCGTAGGTGGCTGAGGTTTTGTTATTAATGGACTTTTCTCTGTAGATTTTTGACAAATGCAAAGTAGGGATATGTGGAGATCAATGATAGATGCGTAAATAACCTAATGCTAAACAAAAATTACAAAATTTTATTCCGAAAACATTACAGAATATTAGTACACGACTTGAGGAAAGAAAGACTGTGAGTCGAGATACAGGCTCTGAAAGTCCTGAAGGTCAACGTAAGGCGAGCAATTGCTAACATATAGTTCGACTTGCTAACAAGAACCATGGAAAATCATAACTGATTTCACATGAATTCAAAGCCATCAAAATACTTTTATGCACGACCGGGCGTAAAGTGGCATTTTATCACCCGGATTTGCAGACGTAAAGTAGTACTTGAGCCCCTGGGCCATGAAGAACTTCAGCGGGTAAAATAGTCCGGCGGGCGGTAAAATAGGTGATCGGGCGGTAAAGTAATGTCACTGTTTTTTAAGTAATTTCTACCAGACTACGATCATGTTCCGATATTCCCGAACAATACGGCCCAGTATATTTTATCGTTCCGATTTTACGGACATTTACTGGCAACGTTTTCGCGAGTCATTGCAAGGAACCCTGTTAGAGGCTAAAAGTTAATGTTGACCTCTGGTGCAGAAATGGTGATTTAGTGCCAGTATTCATGAAATGTCAGGTTAAGCGTTTGAATCTCAAGCATGAGTCGATAAAAAATATGTATTATAATTTTCAAACATTGGGAAAATGTATGAAGTCGAAATGGAAGATCAGTTGGCACTAATCAAGATGTAGGTAATGTACTTAGAGTCTGGTGTTTCTGATGAATCAGAATCACTATCGGATAATGTCTTCTAATAATATGATTAAGCAAACTAGGAAAAGATTATTGGACATAGCCCTCAGGAGAAGTTAACCGTAGAATTGAAGGAATATTGAGGGAAACTGTTTTAAGCAATGTCCAATAATCTTTTCCTAGTTTGCTTAAAACAGTTCCCTCAATATTCCTTTCATTTTAATTTTACTCCTGGACTCGGTTGTCTCGCAGGTAGCTATAGCTGCCTCCGTGGTGACGTTACTTGTAGCCCTGAAAATGCAGGGTCTTCTGACCGAAACCACAATTGTGCGGCTGGCTTCTGTTTGTTGACTCCTCGCTATCGCTCTGGCTCTTACTTACATGCTGCGGTCTATAAAAGCCTAATTTACGCCCTTGATTCATAAATAACTATTGTGCCACCTGTTATAAGTAAACCTATTATGTTCATGATGCCTATTATTGCAGTTGTGAAAGAATGATAATCAGAATAATTGTTTTTGTTTTAGGTCTTTTCACTGTTTGGCAGGAGATTTTTCAAATAGAGAGACCCAAACTGAGATCAGTGACTGATTTGAATAATATATCCAATAAACATACCATGCAAGTCAGAATGTCGAAAATTCTTCAAACCGTATGCTCATTTGGAGATTATGATAGACTATCACAAGGGATTTTTGAAAACTTTCCAAAATTGATTCTCAAAGATTCCTCGATGCAAGGTTTGAGTCAGGCTGCGGAATGGTTTGTTTTCAGCGATGTGCTGAACAATCAGATTTATTCCCTGCAGAACTATTCGCTGAGTACATATTTACCATATGCGTTTGTTGTTTGGCATTTCACATTTGCAGTCCCTCAGAGTCAAAAGTTGAACTACCCTAGTATTGGATATGAGGTAAGTCCTTTTTCTCATAGATGACATTATAGTGTGTACTATTGTAGTGCTCTAATTCCGCAGAAATCTCATCCCTCATGTCAATTTGAGATACTTAACGAGATTGCAGAAAAAATATTTCAATGTACTAACATTCAAAACTAGAAAAATAAGAGCCGAATTCATCTCAAGACGATTAAATATCGAATGTGTTATTTTCATGGCTTTCGCTTATGAGTTAGGAGAATTGATTTTTTTATCTCTCGGAGCGCACGAAAGGAAATTCCTATAATGTTCGGGGAACATCATGCGTACATAGAGAGGATTTTTTTATTAGATTAGATAGAATTTATTAATCCTAAAGATAATACATAAATACATATAAAAGAAATATTACAGGACCCTTGTAAAGATAACAAACAGAAAGTTGATGAAAATAATATTATGATTCAATGAATGTGATCAATTAATAAATAGATATACTGAATAGATAATCATATTTATTTCAAAATTTGGTCACTCCTATTAAGACGATGATATGATGGTCATAATTTCAAAAATGAGGTCATTTTGTATTTGTTTTTCTATGTTTTATATGTTTGATTAGAGATGATTTGAACTTTATTATAATAGATATATTTTTGATATCGTCAGGTAACGCATTATATTCAATCATACCACGGTAGAACGTACAATTTTTTGACACAAAGTTCACATAATAGTTGTCTCTAGATCTGGTGTTATATTTAAGTACATCTGATGTGGAAACAAATACTGAGGCAATATTTTATCAATATGTATCCTTCAAGTTCAAGGAAAGGGAGAGGAGGCAGGTATTGGCATTTCTTTGAACTTTTGGAGGGGTTATAAGTTCTTGATGGCAATACTTCCAGTGGCAAAGAATTCTTAAGCTTCACCGTTCTATAGACTAACAAATATATCAATCTATTTCAAGGTTCAATTTGGAATAATGTACTTCTTGCTCTTCAAAGTATTGCATTACGATTCTTGAATTTATTGAGCCAGATATCGAAGAATTTGAAAAACATATGATTAGAAAAAACATGAATAATCAATTGTATTTTCCTTTCATGTAAAAATTCTGTATTTTCCACTTTCAATATCAGATTATTAACATCAAACAAATAAGGGATTTGTATACAGATTGGCAAATTGTTGCATTTAGGGAATTGGAAAGGCAATAGGCGATTGAAAATGAGCGATACGCGCCCTTGCGGACATTCAAGTAACTAATGGAAAGTACATTGAATGTTTGTTCACATTCAAGTTTCCATGCATTGAAAGTTCAGTGGTCATTATGATATTTTTCGAGTTTGAATTCTTCAGTAGAGTATCTTGAATTACTGCTCCGTTTCACATGTTATTCATGAAAGTTTTCTCACTGTATTTAACTGAAAATGATAATTTAAGTTAGTGTATAATTGAAAGATTTTCGCTCAACTTCGAGAATGAATTCAGTTGTATATTATTCCTAGAAGTGTAATACAGTAGGCAATTGAAGAAATGAAATGCCCACTCAAAAACAAAGCAAATATGTTCAATTTTTTCTACTAGGTAGATCAATTATTTGCAAATACATCCAGCTTTGAGGACTTTTTCTCTTTCATAGACACATATAAGTAGATAATTCCACTACAATACATACATCTCAAATACCTACTTTGTGAACATCATATTCAATTTGCAATATTTATTTTGCTACTGAATGGGAATGAACTGCAAACTAACTCAACCTCTAATGTGGGCATTTTTTTTGCGAATCTCATGCATTTTAAGTAGTGAAACATACTTTGAACGAATATCTTTTGAAAAGCTCACTCGAATCACATAAATACAAAAATGTACCGTTTTCTTTGCTCGAATCACTATAAAAAAATCGAAATAATACACACAATCAAATGAACCATTTCAAAGCAATGTAATTTCATATAGTTCCACAACCGACCACTTTGGCGCTGCGATCTTGAATTCAGTCGCCTATATGATTCGGCTATCGTTTGTCTTAGTTGGTCTCTGCTGGAATATATGAACATAATCAAAACTAAAATGCATTATGCGCCCAACTGTCTAACAGAGAGCGTTGCTCTCCGTGCAAGCGTTGTTGCCAAATGCCATCAGTCCTTAACACTCCTATATGTAACGATTCGATAAACTATCTGTAATTCACACGGTCGTACTTCAGTGGCAACATCACCTTGTTACCAAGTATATCCTATTTTGAAAGTTTCCATGTAAAGGTTGCTGAAATTTGTGTTCTAACAACAACATTATTCAATAATTTCAATGATCAGTGGACAGACACATTGAACTGAACTATTTTCTAGCTGTATTTTTTCACTGTTTAATCACACGACATAGAGGAACTAAATTATTTTCCTAATTATACTGAATGTAACCTTTCTAACATGTTTGTAAGGAATGGTATTACATTATTCATATCCTCATTAGCATGTTAAATGGAAACTTACCTTTTTCATTTGAAGATAGGGACTCGACTGTCTCGAGAAATGAACTTTTGAAGTAATGGTTCATAACAGGGCGTTTCATTAAACGTTGAATAGGTGTGGAATATTTTGAATATCGTACTGTAGATGAGTGTGAGAAACTCATAACAGACAAGTGCTTCGTCGAAGACCGGAAAACTCATAATGCTCGTAATGCTTAGGACACTTTTTGCACGTGAGAAATAGCCTTGATTTTATGTCAAATCAAAGGGTTTGGATTCCTATTTCACCTGTGGGATGAAAGGTTGAGATGTCAGTGTTTTCTTACAATTTGATTGATTGAAATTTGTGGTCGCTAAGAAACACGCCGTTATTGCCAAATATCTAACATCATCGAATTGAGTAGGTTATTCATTTCTGACTACTATCAATTCACTGTGAACTCCCAAATATCCCATGAGTTTCAAAAGTTATTTGGGATGAAATATAAGCAGGTATCTTACGATGGAACGATTCTCACAAGGCTTGTCGTATGGCTCAATCAATATTGAATGATTCTTGATAGCCAGATAGAATATCCAAGCTCTTATTTCATACTTATGATGTGAGGAAATGCCTGAGTGAACACTATTTGAACTTACTATTTAAGTGAATTTGCTTTCATTTCAATATTATGCGCAATCTGTAGGCGTATTGAGAAGGTGGAAAATTAATTTCTCAAAATTTTTGGGGTTTGTCTTATCGTTTCTATAAATAATAACGCAAGTATTATTTTAATATATTCAAAGTTAGTTTTAGTTGTCATCAGATGATTTACCACCCCAAAAACGATAGTCAGCGACAATAGTGGAATTCTTCTTATACAGGGTAACTCACGGTCGATGGTACGTTAGACGTTTATGGAGAACGCAACGCAGTATTCTTCTGAAAATTCCGCATTTTACATTTTATCACCTGTTCTATCGATCTAAAATGTTTTCGAAATTGCGACGTTGCCGTTTCTACCAAAAAGTCCTAGCAACTTCATTTTTTTAAATGGAACACCCTGTATATTAACATATTTTGAGAATTGCCTTTTTATTACAATACTCTTTTGGTAATAAATCCCTATACCTATCTCTATCGGTTTTCGAGATAAAAAATAATTTGTGTTAGATATGATCCAAAACATATCCCTAATTAAACTTATGTAAATCAGGGTTCTCGAATCATATTTTAGTGGTGGTTTGGACAGGCTTGATGTATTCAATTTACACCGAGAAGTCGCCTCCATATCATACAGGGCGTGCTGAAATTATTATTATATCCGTTGTTCATACAAGTGGTCGAAAGTTCATTTTTTCAAATGGAACCCACTGTTTTTCACTCAATAAATTGAAAGACGAATAAAAATGCTACAAGATGACATAGCATGTCCCTATACCTAAATCATCAAGTGTTCTTGATAAAGCCGCTTTTTGTGAAAAATATAATTTTATGAAAAAGTTAATTTTAGATAGCCATGGAAATATCAAACTCATGACAGTTTGGTGACATTAATGAGTAATTCAGTAATTGTTATTGACAGTGTTTCAAAAAATCTCCCAGAATGACCGCAAATATCGATTATTCAAACGAAGTTCTTATGAAGTTATTTATTATACACGGACAATGTGATGATTAAATCATTGCCAGAACTTGCAAAAAATTCAACCAAATGTATCCTGAATTGACACCAATGAACAAGAGAAAGTTTGTAAGATTACAAAATAATTTCATCAACTATGGCTCAAACTTACAAGCGCCTCCAACATTACCAAAACCTGTTACTTCGAATGAAGACAATATTGTTGACGTTTTGGCATATTTTTATGCATATCCAGGAGCATCCATTCTTAGTACAGAAAAAGATTTGGGTGTATCACATGCTTCAGTACAAAGAATTTTGGGAAATCATAAAATGCATCCGTATAAATTTCGTCTTTCAATTCATTGAGCAAAAAACAGTGGGTTCCATTTGAAAAAAATGAACTTTTGACTACTTGTATGATTAGCGGATATAATAATAATTCCAGCACGCCCTGTATGATATGGAGGCGACTTCTCGGTGTGAATTGAAAACATCAAGCTTGTCCAAACCACCACTAAAATGTCAACTCTTTATGATTCGGGAGCCCTGATTTACATAGGTTTAATTAGGGATATGTTTTGGATCATATTTAACACACATTATTTTTTATCTCGAAAACCGATAGAGATAAGTATAGGGATTTATTAACAAAAGAGTATTGTAATGAGAGGGCAATTCTAAAAATTTGTTAATATACGGGGTGTTCCATTTGAAAAAATGAAGTTGCTAGGACTTTTTGATAGAAACGACAACGTCGCAATTTCGAAAATATTTTAGATCGATAGAACAGGTGATAAAATGTAAGATGCGAAATTTTCAGAAAAATCCTGCGTTGCGTTCTCCATAAACGTCTAACGTACCATCGACCGTGAGTTACCCTGTATCTTCAGTATTCTCTATATATTTTTTCATGTTTCTCCAGATAATAGTGACAATGATATGTAATTTTATTGGGAAATAAACAAAATAATGAAAAAACAGTGCTACAATTCTGAGGTCATGAGGAGACTCACATCGCAAAATGGTGAATAAGGGAAATCAAGACGAGTTGATGTATATATATAAATGAAAAATTTGGTTGGTCATCCATAACGAAGATACAGGGTATTATATGAAATTGCCATATAACTTTATGGCTGATATTTCAGATTCATCGTAATTTGCTGAAATTTGGCAACAACGTTTCGCTATTGAAACTATTCAAGATGGCACATTATGGAGAAAAAATACAGATCCGGACTTGAAAACATTTCTATTCTTATTGTTATGTCAGGAAAGTTCACTTTGTGATCACTTTCCTCTGAAAATGTTATCAGATTCAGGAAGATCAGACAAAACGGCAAAAGAAGTGCTCTTCAATTTGCACGGCACATTTTGACCGATTCAATGAGAAAATATAAAACAAATACGGTCGAATGAAAATTTCGTCTTGTCTGATTAGTCTCAACTTTCTACTGGAATCATGTGAATTGATTTTTTGTACATTATTGTTGGATTGAAATTGACAGAAAAGAGTAGTTCTGATTTTTGGATAATTTGAAACTCTATAGTTTTTGATCGAAATTCTAGATTGTCCTGATCATTTCACGAATTTGTTATGGAGCAGGCCCTGTTTTTATTTTATGATGTGGCGTGGCGTTTGTTCTTAGGTTATCACTGGTAATCGAAATATTCTTCCACTCAAGATGCCACTCCATATTTCAATTGCTGACATGATGAGAATTCAAATGCTGCAATGTTTATTACCATAGAAGATTTCCAGATCCAAGAGTACATTGCAGTAATACCTTCATGACGATAATCATTAGCAATATTGAAGAAATAGCAAGTGCATCCTCATATCACTTGCAGAAGAGCATCGAGAATGTAAAATGAAACTCAGTTCACGAGTGATGGCATAGCTGATTTGATGAATCACCATCTAATGGGCACAAAAAATTCTCATGCTGTAGTTTAATCAGTTGGTACCTACCTATCATTTCGGATTATCAACAAACGTCACGTCACACAATGAAAAACAAAGTCACGAATAATATCTACCTAGAATTTTGATAAAGAACTTACATGTTTTTCTCCACTACTCATTTATATCAATTTTTCGTTTACAAAAATATACAAAAAATCAATTTACATGAACCTAGTCGAATGCTAAGAGCTATCAGCCAAGTCAAAATTGAAAATTCATTCGAACGATTTTGTTTCATATTTTTTTATTGAACCGGTCGAAGTGTGCCGTGCAAATTGAAGAGCAGTTACTATGGCATTTTGTCTGATGTTTCCGAATCTGATGACGTTTTTCGAGAAAAAGGATCACGAAGTGAACTTTCTTGACATAACAGTAACACATGATTTTTCCACAAGTCCGGGTCTGGACTTTCATTTTCATAATATACCATCTTGAATAGTTTCACTAGAGAAACGTCGCTACCAAATTTCAGCAAATTACGAGTAATCATTTCATCTTCATTATGGAGGGTAAAAAAGTTCATATATATACATCAACTCGTCTTGGTTTCCCCTTTTCGCCAATTGGCTATGTGAGTCTCCTCATGAATCTCCCTGTATAGATAACTATTATTCAATAAGTAATTTCTGCCCTGTATATATTGGACAACATACTTTTATTCTGAAACAGTGTCTCATCATAGATAGGTTTCAAGGTTTACCTAATGATCTTTGTTTCCCGCGCCCGCGTCCTCAGCAGTAATTTATTTAGTAGTTCATTTCCTGGAATTATTGGGAAATCTTGAAAAACGTCGAGAAAAGTGTCATGGATGCAAACCACTTTCCTCAAAATTACACCCTTTATAACTCTGAAAAATGGAAGTAGATGGAAAAATAATGAAATTTGAAAAGTATCCTTTTAGAGCAATAAGCTGACTCATTAAAAAAACATCTGAGAGTCCGTTCTTCATGAGGGAAGCCGTATGAATTAAAAATAAATCATTTCCTTCGCTGCTAATCACTTCTTTCACAACAGCATCATAAACAAAAGGGTGTCAGTTTCACAAAATTAGTTTCCAGTGAACATCTGGGATTGTGCCAAATAAGCTTCTCACAGACTAGTATAGGCGCGGTAGAAATTCAACTATTTTTTAACCCATTGACAATCTGTGAGCTTGAAGAGGGCGAGCATGATGGGGATATCAGAAAAACTGAATTTTTTGAATTCAATTATAATTTTAGGCGTTAGGACAAAGTAATGCAAAAAAAAAAACAGAAACCGTTTAGGCTCGAAACTGGCTATATTCCAGATTCAACTGACAGTACTGAATCTGCTAATTTTTCATTCCAAAATAAAAAAAAAATCACTGAAAGTGACAGATACTTGTGAGCAGACATACTACCCATTCCAAATATTTTTGGCTCAACATTCTGCTGAAATTGCTGACTATCGTGTTGCTTCAGTAAACTGTCATTATTTTAGAGGGAGAAGGAATTTCACGATCATTTCCGTTTTATCAATAATGAATTGATAATATAATTTTTGATATCAGAAAATGCCTATTATTAAAATAATTGACGCTGAGAATAATATCTAGTTCAGATGAACGAGAAACTATACATATGTGACAATCTGACAACTGACAAGCTGATCAATTGCTACTGATAGCTGATGAAAACCATGAAAACATTTACGAATTACAGCATTGTATTTTCGATTTTATATTTCGGAACACAGATTTTCAGCGGAGTCAGTGGATTTACTGACAGTACTGACCACTTGAATTTGGAATATAGCCTACGTGTTCAGAGTACCTACTCTTTCTGTGAATTTTTATTTCGTGCGAAGTAGGTATTGGGAAGTAGCGAATTGTTATAAATATTTACCTCGGAACCTTAACGGCCTTGACAATACAGGGTGGGGCATTAGTGCGTCGGAGCTCGATTGCTCGAGTTCTATGATAGCTAGAAACTTGATTCTAAAACGAATGTGAATGAGACAACATGGTCCATAACTAGAAACTATTGCCGCATATACAGGGGGCACCGGAAAAAATCCTGAGGATCAGGATCAGTTTTTTGAAATAGAATGCCCTATATATTAGCACATTTTTTGAAGCATCCCTGTGACCTCCATCCACTCCTATGATATTGTTAAATATATCTCGATAATTTCTAAGTTATTAATTTTTTTGTCGAAATGTCATCTGCAGATGCATACCGAAAAAAATCACTGTTGTCACTATTATGGAATTCAAAAGAGAATAATCATAATATCTCTTGATGAAAACATGTGTGATATTTCTATACAATTTTCATGCCCTCAAATTATACAGGATGGCTAAAAATGATTTTTCAATTCGGAACTTTTGGAAGTGATTTTTCTCGAGTTTTTCAAATGGAACACCGCATATATTTTTAGGCCATTTAGTGTAAAATCCAGAAACACGAACATCTTTAATCTCAACATCCATATTGATATTCCTGAACATTTTTGAATTATTGAACTTCGGAAATTATAGGTTGGCCATTTTCATCGATACATATTCTCATCAGTTATGGAAACATCAAAAGTCCAATTAATAATTTAGTAAACTTGTTTTTTTATTGAGAGAATTGAAACCAGAATTGAAGCAGACATCAGATATAGTACATAATTATGCTAGTGATTAACTAAGTGAAAAGAGAAAAAAATTCCATTTTCAAAATATCCCATAAATTCATAACACATCAAAAACAAAATCAGGATAATAATTCACTATCATGCAAAATGGGAATTTTGTTCTTTTTCACTTTGTTAATAACTAGCATATGAACTATTTCTGTTTGCGAAACTGTTGGATTCTGTCCAAAAAAGGGCAATTCGTCTCGTGGGTGATGCCTCGCTCATAAACTCACTCACTTCTCTGGAACACCGTAGAAAAGTTGGCGATCTGGCTCTATTTTATAGATATTTTCATGGACGATGCTCTTCTGAAATATCAACAATTGTTCATCCTTGGCAGTCCCCGCGAGATTAACTCGTCGAGTTGAGGCTTCGCACCCCTTCGTGGTCACTTTGGAGACCTGTAGAACATTTCTTTCCAAAGACTCGTTCATATAACGAACAGCGAGGCTCTGGAACACATTGCCAAGGGAGGTGTTTCCCGAGGCATATAACCTCCAGAAATTTAAGAAGAACACCAATTCCTACCTTATTCTCCTTGGTTTTCACGATGTTCTCTGAACATCACAGGATATCCCTTTTCGTGGAAACCAGAACATAAAAAAAATTCAACGAGGGCAAAATGAATGGTCCTACCCACGAATAACATAGTTGAGAACTAAAACTTTGTCGGATGACAGCTGATATGATAGCTGCTTTGACACTGACAAGCTCAAGTGAGTCAAAATAGTGGTAACTTCAATTATATTTTATTAGTCGATTGCAGAAAAAGTAGCATGTTTCATTCGGATCAAAAGTAACTCTGTTTGACTCGTAACAGTGGCGTGCTCGGCTTTGCGGTCGTTCCGCCTCGCAAACGCAAATATCGTTTGTCAGACAAAGTATCACATTTGATCCTAACTTTTTTTCGAAATTCTACATGTAGAAAATAAAGGAATGAAACTCAATCATTTTGAATTATTAGGAATCAACAAACTAAAAAATTTTGACATAACGATCAATTAGTCCTCAATAGTTCACCACTGTTGAATTTGTTTTCTTAGTAGGTAATAATATTTATTTGCTATCAACCCTTTCAAGTTAATCCGGTGCTTAATTTCCGAAAATGGAGGTTTTTCGATCCTGTCCACAGGTAATTAATCCTTCAAGTTGGGAAAGTAGGATATATAAAAGCTAAGCAAGCCAACGTTGGTTTAGTTCATTGTACCAGTATATCACCTGACGAAGCTACTGTGTTAGCGAAACATGTTGTGTATTTAAGAATTTTGTAGAAATCTTATCGTTTGTGAAGTTTTTACATTTGATCCTAACGAAACAATGTACTATTTTAGGCCAAACAGAAAGAAACGCGCCAGAAAGCGGTGGTCTCCGAGGTCCTTCGCGGCATGCCGCCCCACATCAGGGCCTACTGCCATCGCCTGTCGCTCATCCTCGACATCCTGCCGATGATCTCGAAGATAATCGTGCCGCCTTTCAGGCCGGTGAGTCTCCATCTGTACACCAAGGACGAGAAGCAGGGTATGTTGCGGGTGGTCAATACCATGATCGATTATAATCTGAATTACGTCCAGGAGAGGTTGCCCGATGGAGTTTATGTCTACAATCTAGGTAAGAAACTGTTGGTTCGGCACTAATTGTATTCATATATTTTTTATTGGTACCCTATTTTGCTTATTTCAACAACGCCTCAGCACAGTTTGATCCTTCAACAACCAGTTATGTCTTTTCATTCAAATTTTGTATCCATATCAAAAATGGCAACAGGCGACTTGGCATCTGAATTATGGTTGCACAGAAGACTAAAACGTTAATGTCATCCCTGGCCAAGTCACTAAATAGCTAAAATCCCAATGGTATTTCCCATGCAGTAATGAAATTCCGCCTTCGAAGTGCTCAGATGATGTTAGGTTAGATGTTCATTATTTTCATTTAATCAACTAAATAAAATGAGACTTATACAGTCGTATTCAATAAAATAGCGTACAAGAGAGTATTAAACATAGAAGATTTCGGCATTCTAGTTCTCGTTGTGTGAAATTGGCTCAGCCAATGCTTTGTGTTTTTGAGAACTTATGATTACTCTACTGTCAACATTTGGTAATCATTCATTCCCGATAGCCCGTTTTACGCAAATAGGATGACGTTAATTTCTCCCTCCAATATACTTGTACGCTTTTTTTCAATATGACTGTAGTTTGATATACTAATTTGAATTTGTTCACTGCTTCGAATGATGCCCAGAAGAATATGAATTTTAAAACTGATAATGTCTAATGAATCTTTTTCAGTTGCATGTCAAAAGAATGTAGTCAATTTGAGAAAGTATCAATTGAATTTCAGAATAGTCTCAGTATTTTAAAAGGAAACATTATTAGTCAATTTGAAAATCAGAATTCAGAAAATTCATTGCATGTGGAAATGCATACGGTGCTTAGTGCTCCCAAGATCTTTGTGAATATTTGTAAATTATTCAGCTTGTACTCCCTTCAGTTACCATGTTCTTTTTGAAACACAGATTACAGGAATTCATGAGTTACTTAGGGACACAACTATTACGGATCGTCTGTTGAACAATAGTATATCTCCATTCCTACAAAGACTGCAATATCTATATGCAGTATCAACATCAGTAATACTCTTCCATGGTAAAACCATGTCAGGTCAATCGCGAAAATTGCTGCATAAATGGCGCTCAGCATCCAAACATGGTATAATCACCAATTTTTATATATCAATTCCATCATGTCATTGAAAGACTACAGGAGCATATCCTTTTCTCGTCAACCTAGAAATATGTTGGAACGACTTTCTAGAAAATATCGTTCATCTATACAATGGCAAAGCTTAGGACTTTTTTGTCTAGGAAAATATCTCAAAGGAATCAATAACTTCCAAATATTCAAAAAATCCCTTCCTAAGAACGTCCGATGTTGCGCAAAGATGAGAAATATCTATTTTTCATCAAACCCAACCACATAAATCTATGTTGATGGTCTTGACTGAAATGTTTTGAGATGTATGAAGGCATTGTTCCATGGGTTTTGAACAGTTCTTAGTATATTGATATTATTCCAGTGTTTTGTGATTGATCGATGTAATCATCATCAGAAAGCATTTTCAGGCATATGTTACACGATAACTTTTTCGTCCAGTTGTTTTCCACACGAACCACAAACTCATATTTATCACTGTTCTATTTGAATTCTTTTTTTTTTTTTCAGAACCCAACATTGAAGATATTGTTCATTTCAACAAAACATCAATAACTAAAACGACTCTTTCATATTCCAATAAGCAAATGATTTCCAGAGAAATTGAACTTGAAAAAATGCGGAGATTCGAAGTGCCTAAATCAGCAATAGAAACGTCTAAGAACCCCAATGCAATGAAGGATAAATCATCACCGAAAACGCCATTGCCAAATCATTTGCAAAAGTTGAAAGCAAGATCAGTTAATGCAAAACCGGTAAGTGTTTTCAGCTTATTCTTCCATAAGTACGGTCTCAGATGTGGATTAAACTATGTGCTGACTCCCACTCCCCCTGCAAAGCCCAACTTTCACAATTTCGATTGAATCATTGAAAAAACAAGTAGACAATTTGAAAATATAGTGTATTGAATGAGGGATTGAAAGGCCTTTCTTTATTCTAATTATACTCTTTTATGTGGGGGTTGGTGAAAGTAGAAGGTGATTTGATCGAATGAGACACCAAAAGAGTTATTGAATGGCAAATTTTCAAATCATTGCTTTTTTGATCTACCCTGTATGAATATCTATGAATTAGACAAAAACAGGGTGATTAGGAATGGTCAATATCTGAACTACAGAAAGTAAAAACAAGAATATGAAGATTCAGCTGAACATGCCTGTTCGCGCATAAACGAATTTTCCTATATAATATTTTTCTATTTAATCATTCAATCAATTTGCCGCGCTAAAATCACACACAGGTGCTTTCCTTGCTTTTGGGAACGCACGCAGGTGAAGACACCAAGAGATAGGTGGTCATGCGCAAGCAGAGACAATTAAGAATAGCTAACAATCATTGTAGCCGGTTTACGCTGTGAAATTTCCATTCAAAATTCAATTTAATTTCAAGTACTTTCGCCAGTGAAATTGTGAAACAGACTTTCCTTATGGGTTGGTGATTGGAATGGCAGTCCAGTAACAGGGTACCTACCCTGCGGCGATTACAATAACAGCCGGTGAGTGCACCCTTAGCATTTATAAGGCATTTTGTGTGTGCGACAACCTAGGATAAATTATTAATGGAAGGATTAAATCATATTCAATTCTGAAAAGTATCAAGGTCAACGTAAAAGATTTTACATACAGTCCATTTTTCTTATAAAATATTGCAGATGCACCCGTTCAAGGTAAACTCTCATTTCAAATTTATCCATAACTTTGATCAGACATTTACTTTGGAATTAGGTTTCTTGTTTTTCTATCTCTTGGGGCGCACGGAAGGAAATCCCTATGAGGATATCTTAAATTTTTTCAAATAGAATCATTACTCAATTACTTTTCAATTCCATATTTTTTCACGCCTAGAAACCTACCGCAAATAAAAACTGACGTCACAATTTCGTAAGTAGGGGCAGTAGCACAGTTGCCATATGTTGAAATACAAATGGAAACTCCAGAAATATTATTTATCCAATAATTCATAATTTCTTATTGATGGAAATTGGTTATGGAAATAACAAGTCCGTGTGTTATACTTCAGAACTGTATATTGTTCTCTTCAAATCAAGACCACTCGGAAAGCACGCCGATATAAGAATCATCATATAGAAAACGTCTTTAGGAAAACTACATAAGTATATGCTTGGTAAGCAGTCTCTCCTCATCTATACCATACACATTGCTTCCATTTATATATTTTAAATAAACAAATTTAATGTGGCCCTCGTGTGCTGCACAGTGGACGGTGTATATCCAACACGCCTCATAAATAAATTTATAAACCAAAAAATAGAATTCAATATACCTTAAATATATGTCGTACACTATTTTTCGAAAAGTACTATAAACTTGCAACACTTCTGAGAGAGACAAAGGACATGCTTTCCTCGTGTATTTCTGGGGTATAATATGGCCCAACATTTGTTGCTCAGGATTAGGGAAACCCAGTAAAACCTAATCAGACCATTAAACTCATTTAATAATAATTTCTTCAAGACCCATTCCAGTTCGGGAGTCTTGAAATTCAACTGCTGGCAATGGTTTGGTCAACGAATCAGCTATTTGTTGACCTGTTGAAAGATATTTCAATTTTATTACACCATTTTCAACTGGTTCTCTAGAAAAATGATATTCTATATCAGTATACTTAGACCGTTTGAGATTATTTGGATTATTAGCAATACTGATACAACCATTATATCTTCATGAATTATGATCAGTCCTGAAATGTTTATATCAATACTCTTAGCTAATGATTTTAGCCAAAGTTCTTCTCTGACAGCAGAGCTTTTTCAAACACTTAAAAACCAAGATATTGCTGCTTTTTTCAACCCATACAAAGCTTTATGCATTGTGCAAACTTGATTAGGTTTGTTTTTAACTCCTTTAGGAACTTTCATATACATTTATTCTTTTAATATTCCATTTAGGAAAGTAGTTTTCACATCCATATGATGAACAAAAAGATTAAATTGATTTGAATAAGCAATTATGATGAGACTTGAAATTCTTGCAACTGTTGCAAATGTTTCATTATATTCTTTCAAGTATTCCTGACTGAAACCTCGAGCAACAAGAGAATTAATTTCATCTTGAATAGCTTCTTTCCATTCAACTTCATCAGTTCTATTCTGATTTTCCTGAAATGAAGTGGGAATTGTACATACAATAGATTAGGCTCACATAAGGTAATCATTTGATATATTATCGTCTTCATTCTACGAAATTGTCGTATAATTTTTGATTCTGTCACTCCGCCTCAGTTCAGAAAACGATGGTTCTTCACTTCGCCCATTTTGCCCATCATCTTATTTAATACCTTCATTAGATTTTACCTTCATCCTGGTTTTTGATTCATCTGGTTCATCAATACCAGATTCTTTCATCACTGATTTTGACTGGAAGTCAAATGCATCAGTTTCATATCGCACACGTTTCTCTGGTTTGGCTCTATCAGATTTATTACCCACTGATTTTAACTGTAAGTCAGATGCATCAGTTTCATCATCAATATGGGAATTTTGCGACTTTCCTTCAGGCTCAGCTTTAGGCCTAGATACTAAGAAATTTGTTTCATCTACAATGACATCTCTCACGACAAGAAATTTTTCAGTTTCCACATCCACACTTTATAATCATTTGGTTCAAAACCAACCAGTATTGCTTTCCAGGGTTTTTCATCAAATTTTGATTTTCTGGTTTTATTGTGGATATAAACGGTGGAACCAAATTTCTTCAAATATTTTACTTGCGACTTTTTGCTATTCCACAATCCACTCTTTTAGAGCTTTAGTCGGTGTTATATTTATTAACAATGTTGCCTCACCCCAAAAAACCTTCTCTAATTTTGCACTATGAATCATTGCAGGAGCTTTTTCTGTGATAGTTCTTACCATACGCTCTGAGACACCATTTAACTGTGGGGTTCTAGGAACAGCACTTTATCAAAACTCCTCCATCCATAGAACGGCTAGGCTCTGGAATTCATTGCCTGAGGAAGTATTCCCAACAACATATAATCTCCAGAAGTTCAAAAAAAAATCTAATACCTACCTCCTGTCCCTATCCTCCCTAGGAACGCACGATGTTCTTTGAACAGTATAGGGATTTCATTTCGTGCGCTCCAAGCGATAAAAAACTGTCAAATGATAACTAATACCTTTCGTTACACAATAGTCCTTCATTTCAGTCGATAAATATTCCCTTCCAGTAAATTTCTTGATTGTTCTGGAATAGTATACCAATTTCGAAAGATATTGATAAAAATCTTAATTTTTTTCTTACATTCGACACCCTGTATCTCAGAGAGGATGCATTTTAGGATAAACGTTGATATAAACTTTTCACCAAGAAATCCGTATACGAAGTGTGCCGGTCTTATTTTGACTCCCATTCTATAAGTTAGACAAGTTGACTTATTGCATTCGATATGAATTTCCATCGAGAATCTCTGCAGAAACAGCCGAGTCAATTCAAAAAATAATGATTCGGACTGCCAATGGTTAGTTTTACACCCTACAATATCATTCATGCCTTTTTTTCTTTCAAAAACTATTGAAGTAAGCTGTACCCTCGACTCTACATTGTGTTGAAGATCCTTATCAATTTCCATATATCCTATTATATGATGTAACTCGATATCTTCCTCTGAAAAATATTTGTTATGCAATACGGGAAAATATCTTCCGTTTCGGAACGTTACACATTCGGAATGGATAATCTGAAGACTCCCAGCGTTAATGTAGCTTTTAGGGGCGCCAGAAGTACATTTTAAATTGTTCTAGTGTGTAAAATAATCCGGAACGGATGTCCCGAACGGCAGTATTTCATGATGCCGAAACGTCCTGATTTTACCGCGCCATTTAGCTGAGATGCCGATTGGTTAGCGCGCAGCGCGAGTGACAACATTCTGAAATCACAAATTATAGTATAGTATAGATTACGAGTGCCTCGAACATCTCATTTAATGCTCTCTAAAGAGTGTGGACACACTTGTCATTTATTCATTTGTATCCCAACAAACCAATGAGGTTTAATTACATGGATAATATAAACCTAAAGGATCCTGAAATTTGCTGGAGCGAGAGGTATTCCAAAAATGCACTCTATCACCGAGTGGGGTCATCTTCAGTGATATACACTGCTCGCCAACAGCCATGAAACCACCACAATTTCCAGGAAATGATATTAGGAGTCAAAATAGGCTGAAAATTACTTCGGATTCGGAATCAGGACTCCCAATTCTCTAACTATTCATAGTTTTCCTAGAAAATTTTCAGTTGAGAAAAATTAAAGCACCACCGTATCTCACGTAATTATTGAGGTAGGGTTCTGAAATTTGCAGGAATGAGGAGAAGTCTAAAGATAAAGTCAATTACGTAAGATACGGGGATGCTTCCGTAAAAAGTGCCACAAAATTTAACTTTTCAGAACTGAAAATTTCCTGAGAAAAATTTGAATAGTGAATTGGGCGTCCTAATTCCAAATCTGAAGTGATTTTCGGACCTATTTTGACTCCTAATATCATTTTCCGGAAATTGAGGTGATTCGATGGCTGTTGGCGAGCAGTGTATATCACTGAAGATGACCCCACTTGATCATAGAGTGCATTTTTAGTATATCTCTCGCTCCAGCAAATTCAGGATCCTTACCCAACGATTACCTAAGATTTAGGGGTGTTTCCATTAGAAGTGGGTCACACTGTATATGTGAGACATTAATAGTATATTATTCAACGAGCGCATAATGATGACTATTACCCACGAAGATGAAAGTTG